ACGAGGCCCCGCCCTTAGCGCCCGGCGCACCGCCGGGGACAGTGGTGAGGGCAGGCAGCGCGGGCGCTGTACTGCGCAGGCGCAGCGGGCGTGAGGGATCCTTGACCTCTGGGCAGAGTTGGGTCTGGCCCCGGAGGTGCCGGGTGCCTCGCTCTCCTTGCGTCTTGGTTCTTCTGGCTCAGCACCTCCTATCCTGGCATGGCGAGGCCTGTGGACACATCCCTCCAGCCCACTGACATGGATAATCCCTGCGGTGGTCACTTGAGGAGCAGATTTCCCTAGCGCCCCATGGGGAGTTCCACCTCTTGCCCCAATCCGGGCTGTGTTGGTTTCAAAGTCAACCAATCAGCGCTGGGCTCATGCCACCTGCCCTCCGGGGTGTTGTGACCCTCGGAGGGGATGGGACATAGCACACGGGGAAGCTAACATCTGTGTGATGAAAGCCCCAACCAGGGGTAAAGCCGGAAGCGGGGTGGTGGGGAAGCAGTGGAGAAGGCTCCGACGGTGCACTTTCTTGAACTCTCTGAGATCATCTTGTTTATTTATGTTATAACTTCCACGCGAATGGAGCCCTCGAAGGCAAGGATCTTGCCTGTCTTGTTCAAGAATGATTCTCAGTGCCTCCTAAGGAATCAAGGCTCCATGATTACTTATTGAAAGATGAAATGATTGTCAATTATTTGTGGAATGAATGAGTGAAGTCATCTAGTTTGTTTAACTTCCACTAGAGGGGAAGTCCAGGAGGGCGAGGCTCTTGCCAAGCTTGTTCAATTGATCCTCCTTACCTGCATGACAATTATTTGTTGCATAAATGAATGAATGACTAAGAAGTGAGGGGGCAGGAGGGGAGGCATGCAGCTTCCTTCAGAGATGAACCTTGTCTAGGGAACAAAACGCTCTTTACATCTGGTTACTTAGAAGCTAGTTAGAAGCACTGCTTCATTCTTCTTAGCTTGTTTGATTGTTAAAAACAAATAAAAGCCAGGTTAATTTAGGAGGGAGGATAATTTTTCAAAATAACTGAAGTCCTTTATATAAAAAAACAAAAATTACATTAGACAGGAATGAAATAATATGGTTGGGTAGTTGCTAAGTGCAATTTGTGGTGCCTAGTTTTTTGGTTTTTTTTCTAAGTCTACAGTACTTAAGAGTGTTTTCTTGGGGAGGTAATGCTTTAAGGACTGCTGAGAATGCCTCAGCCTTGATTAAGATGCGAAGTTAATGTCGCTAGGTGTTAAAAACACTGGTTCAGTATCCATCAGCACAGAACAGCCTGTCCCTGCTATTCCTGGAGCTCCATGAGGCTGTTCACCATCCAGTATTCCTGTTCTACTTATTTTAGAGAATATTATTCTGTCCCTAGTTCAAAATTTGTTTTTTGAAGTCATGAAAATTAAATGACACCTCTCTCCCCACCCCAAACACATTCTTATCAGTCTATTGATTTTACTTCATCTAGAGTGATAGGAATGGGGGCATGGAGGGTGGAGCTCTGGGACCCAAGTATCTTTTCTGTGTGTCTCATGGTGGAAATAATGCCACTTCTTACTTGGACGTGGAGAGCAAGACTTTTACATGTAGTAACTCCTGGAGACTCAACTTACGAGACTCACAAAGGAAGCTATCTGATGGGTTTTTAGATATCTAAGCATTGTACTACTGACAGTGCCTCTCACCCAACAAGGAAGTTATTAGTAGGTCATTAATTCAATTTGAAATTAAGGAGGTGACTGACTCTTCAGGCTCTTGTCCCCTGGAATGACACATATCCCCACACCCTTCTGGTTGGGCTCTCCTCCTGGGATCCAGACTGACCTGTACCTGGGAGGAAGAATGCAGATGTGACTCTTCCTACAAACTTTACAACGGGTTGGGGAATCCAAGCACAGGAACAGGCAAATTAGAAGGAGGGTTGTGTGTTCAGAGCTGAGAAACAGGCCTGTGAAGTGCAGTCTCTGGGTCCTCAGGGAAGGTGGCAAGTGAGGCATCTCTCCCCAACCACAGAGCAGGATTTGACTGAGGGGCTGGACCAGAGGCTAGTATGGGAAGAGGCAGAGTAGCGGTGAGCGGTCCCATGTTAGCTGGTCCCAGAGACAGACCTGGTAGGAGAAGCAGAAGTCATGTGCTGTAACTTCAGCTGGGCCAGACTTAATTCATTCACACAGTATCCTCACAACTGTTACCCTGTCTTCATTCCACCTGTTCATTATTACTTGACTTTTTATACCAGTGTGGTCTAAGGAGGAATTTATTTGATCTTTGTCCCTGGCATCTGTCACAGAACTCCTGAAACCTTTGCTGTTAGTTCTGTGGGCTGAGCTGGTGACTCGGGGATGCAAAGAATTGCATAGAAATTAGATCAGATGTGGGTTCAAGACCAGCCGGGCAACTTGGCGAGACCTCGTCTCTACAATAAATTAAAAAAAACATTAGCTGCGCATGGTAGCCTGTGCCTGTAGTTCCAGCTACTTGGAAGGCTAAGGCAGAAGGATTGCCGGAGCCCAGCAGGTCAAGGCTGGGGTGACTGTGAGTGTACCACTGCATTCCATAGCGACAGAGTGAGACTCCAACTCAGAAAAAAGAAAGAAAGAAAGAAATTAGATCAGAAAGGAACGTTTATTCTGAAAGTAGATCAAAGAGAGAGAGAAAGACGCATTCACCTCTCTGGGATTGGAGATGGGGCCAAAGGCTTAACAAAAGTATGGTGTGGCGAATGCTTGAGGTTGAAGGCTTATAAAGCTTCCTTTGCAGGGTGGGGGTGGGGGAGGCAGGTCGCTTTGATGATGGGTTGGTGGTCTGTTTCTCACTTCTTTGACAGCAGGTGGTCAGGGCGGGTAGCTGAAAGACACATTCTTAGCACAAAGTTTTTTTTTTTTTAGATTAGAAAATATCGTTTATTTAGAAAGTAAATTAGACAGGGGAGATTCACCTCCCCAAGGTAGGGGAGGGGGCCAAAACTAAGAAACGTTGTGGCCATAGCTCAAAGAGCCATGTGGACACACCAGAGTTTAACAAAGTAATGGTGAATGGAGAGAGAGAGAGAGAAAGGAGATTCACCTCCCCGAGGTTGGGGAGAGGGCCAAAGCTTAGGAAAATAAGGCTTGAACATAGCTCAAAGAACACATAACCAGACTATAGCTTAGCAAGGCAATGGCTAGGACAAAGATGTTAACCTTAATATCTTGTGACTCACCCAGGGTTCCAGAAAAAAGGATTATTGTCGTGTATGAGCTCAAGGAGACCAGAGAAACTGCATTTTGGGCTCTGTCCTTTCCCTTGGGATTCTCAAGTGATAGGGATGTCTTGTGGTTACTCATAATGAGCTCATTTCAACATCATCTCCAGGCAGATAGTGTCAGAATTGAAATGTCTGCTGGAGAATTGCTTGATTTGTGGGGGAAAAAACCCAATGTTTGGGGTCAGAAGTGTATCTGTGTTGTAAGAATGTAGTGGGAGAAACAGTGTGGTCATGTCAGAAACAGCTTCTTGACAAATACACTTTATTTTTTTATTTTGTAGAGATGGGGATCTTGCTTTGTTGCCTAGGCTGATCTTAAACTCCTGGCCTCAATCAGTCCTCCCACCTCGGTCTCCCAAAGAAACTCAGGCCTACAAATACACTTACAATGAAACTTTATATAATTACAGTCACTAGAAAACCAGGTTTTTTCCTGATAGATACAGCATACATAGCTCTTAAAATAAAACAGTAAGCACTGCAGGTTCTCTCATGTTTTTCCCTGTGCTCCAGAAGTGGGGTCTCACTTTGGGGCCGGTCTCCAAATTTCCATGTGCTCTTTGGACTCATTCATTCTTATACTCCAAACCACCTCTTCCTTTGGTACCTCTCAGCAATGATCTTTATCTTTGAATTCACAGTGGACTTTTTTTTTTCTTCTTTTGAGTTGAAGTCTTACTCCATCACCCAGGCTGGAGTGCAGTAGCATGCTCATAGACACCCCAGCCCGCACCTGCTGGGCTCAGGCGATCCTTCCGCTTCAGCCTTCCAAGTAGCTGGAACTACAGGCCTACACCACCACACCCAGCTAATTTTTGATTATTGTTGGGACGAGGTCTTGCCAAGATGCCCAGGCTGCTCTCGAACCCCTGGGATCAGGCAATCCTCTCACCTCCTCCTCCCAAAGTACTGGAATTACAGGTGTGAGCCACCACTCCTGGCCATGAACTTTTTCAACTTCTCTCTCCTCCTCTTTAAAATGGCTTGTATTTTCTTTAATCCTTTCTATGTGTCTTCTTGACTCTGAGAATGTGTCCTTTCTACTTTCCAATCGTTTTGCCTGTGCTCCTTTCATTCATTAATTGCACAGATAACCACTTGTCCTCTGTTCCAGGCCGTTCCTACCCTTCAGAGCTTACTCTATCCTAGTGGTTCTCACCTGGGGGTTCCTCCAGGGGGCCTGGAGCAATGTCTGGAGACAGGATTAGTTGTCCCAGCTGGTGGTGAGGGTACAACTGGCATCTAATGGGTAGAAGCTAGGGACGCTGCTAAACATCCTACAAGCAAAGGACAGCAACAGAGAAGAAAAGAGAGGTCTGGCCTCACATGTCGATAATGTCAGTGTAGAAACCCTGAGGTCTATCTAGCAGGCTCTTGTGACCTGTCCTGTCGGCCTGTCTGGCTTTGATTTCTTTGTCCTTTCATTCCCCAACTCAGCTGGACTTTGGGCTATATCAGTCGCTTGCTGCCCCTCAGTAGGCAACACACTTCCACACCCTTGAACTTTGTACTTGGTGTTCTCTCTGCACAGAATGCCCTTTCCTCTGATTTGCCCTGAGGAGTCTTACTCACGTCTTGAGATTCTGTGCAAATACTCCAATCCCCGA